TTTTATTCTTACTTCTGCAAGATCTCTCTGTCGAGCAGTGAAATCAGCATCAGTTTTATTTTCTTCCCTCACTGGGTCCACTGGTTCAGTAGGACACGAAGAGGTAAGCGCTAGGTCATTCTCGGACAGCGCAAGTGCTAATTCATACTTCTCTCGTCATACACGATAGTTGCCCCCTTAAAGAGGCGGTATGTGCGAGATAAATACCATAGAGTTGAGTCCTAGAAAACACCGTCAGAGATAGTGAGAAAATATGACTTAATAATTGCATGCCTTAATTTAACGTTGGTCAAAATTAAAACATACAACATATAACATTCTTCTATATTAATTCTACATCACCGTTGGACAGAAATAGAATTAATGCATGGAAAAACTCATGAAAAAGATTATAATATTGCTATTATCAACGTTGGTCAGAAAAAATAACAATATTATAATTTATGGAATAAAAAATAAGAGCTCTTCAAATTAAATCCTCCCATTGATTCAAATTTAATTAGAAGATAATAAACGCTAAACTTTGCAGCGGAAACATGAAAAAAATTATCAACTGTTTAGAATCATTTTACTGTACTCATCTACTCTCTAAAAAAATTATCTCGTTGGTTCAAATTTTGACAGAGATTTAAACTAGACAAAAATCATCAAAAAAATTGCTTCTAAAAAAGAATAAACAAATTCATAATCGTTACTCTACACTCGGGCCAAAAATCACTCACGCGCCGCGCGCTATCGCGGCCCAGCAGCGAAATCTGGCCCGATCAGCCATGCACGCCGCGCTGTTCCCGCGCGCAGACCGCAACCTAGGCCTGGGGTGGGAATTGCTTCGCCCGCCTAGGCTGAAAGCTGGCCCGAGCGCCCAGAGTCGTCCATCGTGATCCGACGACCGAGCGTCGTTCTCGACGGATCAAAAACACACTGCGACCGCTCCCCTGAAACCCTAGGTTCATTGTCTCCCTCCCCTTCTCTCTCATCACCGTAGCCGAGTGAAATGGAGCAGCGCAGCAGTAGCCTTCGTGGCTACCGAAGGAGGAGGTGGCGGCGTCGTCGCGGGGCCCCTCGTCGGCGCACGCCCTCATCCAAGGGTGAGCACGCTGCCGTCGAGCGGCCTTATGGCGACGCCCTTGATTCCTGTGTCCGAGGGTGAGGTTCCGCGATGGCGTGGCCTCCCCGAATGGTGGCTCAGGAGCTTCTTCCCGCGCGACGTCAGCGGTGGTGACGATGACAGGTGAGCCCCAAGTAGGCCCTTGTCCCCTCCGCCCTTCTTTCTTTCCGTTTCTTTAGGGTTAGGGTTTCGAGGTTTTATCCGATTCGATTCATCTCCTTTTTCTACTCAATTTTTACCCCAAAATCTAGATCTACATGCTAGGGTAGGCCTTGATACCAATGATAGAACTTAAGACCGACTAGGAGTAGATCTAGCGGGTATAAACTTGCATTTAGGATATAGTAAACCATAGAATATGAACTAGTGCTAGGAAACAGAGAGAGAGGGATGCGGTGTTAGCAAACCATCGGTCGCCTTAAAGGTAGACGAGCTGGCCATGGCATCGGTGTCGGTGATGTGGTGAAGGCGTAGAGCAGCAGTGGAGTCCGACGACGGTGTAGACGTTGCAGTGGAGGCGCGGTCGTAGAGACGGCGATGAAGACGCGGCGGTGGCGGCTTCCCGTCGCTGGCAGCGCCCCCTCCCTAGATCGACTTAGGGTTAGGGTGTAGGTGGAGTTTGTGGTGGCTCAGGTGAACCTCGTGCCTTGTGCCTCGACCCCCACCTCCTTTTTATGGCGCTGTGCGACGGGGGCCCACCAACCATAGATAGGGTTGGACGCCCCCGATCAGGACGCGGATCAAGGGCCTAATTAGCCGTTGGGCCAAGTTGGTAGAGATCAACCTAACAAGCAACAACCAGGCGGCATGTGTGTGTGGGGCTCCATAAGGGCACGTACGACGGACGCCGGAGTGTCGTCTACAACGGAGTATATTTGCAAACAACACCCTCTCCAACGGCATTGAATGAAGTAAGAGAGTGAAGCTGGCGTCTCGTGAGGCGACGATAGTGGCGCGTGCTCCGAGGGACGTTTTCTCCACGCGGCGCGCGTGACGATCCAGCTGTGGCCAAACCTGGCACAAGTTCCTCCTGCTCGGCGCGCGCGACTTCTTTCTCTGCTGCTGTGTGCTCACTCTGTCGTGCTGTGTAATGGACGAGCAAGGCCACACCCATGTCACCTTGTCGTTTTCCTATAGAAAAATAATAGAAGAAACACATATGTAATACAATTATACGTACCCTTTGCAGCTAACAGACGTGAACCATCCATCTCTTGATGCTATATTTGATTTATGAGGGAGAAGACGTATGTTATATTTGATTTATGAAATATATTATATTACATTATATATATAATATTGTTTTGTTTCAATTAGCAACATAACGGTATATATAAACAATATTCATGATTAATCATGCCTACATACAAGCATTAAACAATTCATAGACAGCTAAATAAATAGTAGGTGTTTGTGGGTTGTACGAGCTGTCTGTTTAGCCGTCTGCATTATAAATCCTAAGGTGGTGTTTGGATCCAGCTACTAAAATTTAGGAGATGTGTCAGAAGGATGTTGCATGGGGTGTTTAGATACTAATAAAAAAACAAATTACATAATCCATCAGGACTCAACGAGACGAATTATTTAAGCCTAATTAATCCATCATTAGCACATATTTACTGTAGCAAAATATTGTCAAATCATAGCCTAATTAGGCTTAAAAAATTCATCTCGTAAATTAGTCACAAACTATGTAATTAGTTTCGTAATTAGTCTATACTTAATATTCTATGCATGTGTCAAACATCTGATGGGACAGCGACAAAAATTTAGGAAGAACACCCAAACACCCTAATAATTTATATACAACGGCTGTCTCTATTGTACATGTCCTAAGGGCACCCGCAACAGTGCCTAGTCAGCTAGCTCCTAACTTGTACGTGTCATCATTTATCTTACGTGGAAGAGAGAGGAGGTGGGAAAACAAACCAGTTGCCTCTTGTTCCCACGCCCAGCTCGCTCACGAATCGAGGAGACTATGAGCCAGCGTAAGCGTCGGTGCTAACTCTTCTCGGTGGGGATCGGATCGACTGCTCCGTCCTTCCTGCACCGCGCCTCCCTCCCGCTCCTGCGCGCCAATCTGCTGCTGCGCGCGCAATGGCTGAGACGATTTATTTCCTTTTTGTCCTTCCTCTTTCATGTGGTGCTCAGATCCAATCTCCAGGCAAAGACGATTTCTAGACCAAATTGAATCCCGTTGCCAGTGATGAGTCGTAGGTCCAAGCAGGATGTAGCACCACAACCACTTCAAGCTGAATCGGATCCCTTGTCTTGCCGGCCGGGTGCCGTGCCCGTCGCCGCCGCCGGTGATGCCGCGTCTGCTGCTGCAGGAAACACGGCGTTCATTGCGGCTAGAAGCGCTGCGTCCGCTGCCACAATAGGCCAAGCACGCAAGCTTCTATTTCTTTATCCCCTTCTTACTAATCCACTTTGTTGCTTTTTCCCCTTTCCAATCTATTGATTTTTTTTCTTCTCAACCTTGCTCTCGGTGATATCCAGCATGGTGGCCTGGGTCCTTGCCACAAAGAGCGTCCTTTGGTGCAGGTGTATGCAAGTGAACAAGAAGGGGCAAGGAAAGATGTGGAGCGTGCTTTTGGGGTGCTTCAAGCTCGCTTTAACATTGTGCGTCGTCCAGCACGATCGTGGAGCCTTAGAATTCTTAGAAAAATCTGTTATTCTCCATAACATGATTGTGGAAGATGAGGGAGTTGCAATGGCTGAACGTCCTATTGACTTGAATGATGCCCCAGGGGCGTCAATTACTCTTCCACCAGAAGTACAGAGAGGCAGTAACAATCACCCATGCTTAGATGAGGTTCGACGTAGAAATGCTGCTATCCGTTCTCAGCCAATCCATGCCCAACTGAAAGAAGACTTAATTGAGCATATTTGGCAACGGTTTCTACGTAGGAAAAATAACTAGTTTCTCCTTATTACATTTCTATGTAAGATTTAGTAATTCCCTTTCTTGTTAAGTTTTTTTTGTCACAAAGCTGATCATTGCCATTTACTATTTACCCTGTTCGCTCGACTGATAAGCCATGGTTGAAAGTATTGTTGGCTGATTTATCGTGAGAGAACAATATTGTTCGTTGGCTGCAAAAGTACGGCTTATAAGCGAAGCGAATAGGGTGATTGAATCTATTTCTTACAGGAGAATGTTGGCTGTTTGGTGACTAGAAGTGTGATGATCAGGTATGCATTGTGTTACTATATGTCCTGCAGATGGTAGATCTCGCAATACAAATTGCTAATTCTGAAGTATTTAAATTGATAGCCTTTGCTACATAATGCTTGTGACTGTGATGTTTAAACCTCTCCATTTTACTTTCTCTAACAGGATGTATTGGCCAACTGCAACCTCTGCCAACTTGTTCAGGACTTTTGGTGTTTCTTCTTCCACAAATGCAGCTAGCACTTCTGTCTATTTTGTCCTGAATGAAAGAGGCGTGTTGCCATTGTCTTCAGTTTGGTCCAATATTAAATAATTGCCCGTAATTGTACCAACTATGCATTATTATATTGTAAGCCAATTCATATCATTATTCTGAGATTAAGTTGTAATCTATGTTCATGTTTATTTCCGTGATCAAACTGAGATGACAATATTTCTAGCGAGCTGTGAGTCTTTGAAATAGGATGCACACAAAGAGCGACAAAGATGATATGTAGTTGATCATGACTTCCTAGTAGTATAAAAGTGTATTAAAAGCACCATGAGCTAACCTTAGAGATAGCCATAAAAGCTGTCTTTTATAAGTAGGCTCAGTGCATCTCCAACCGACGTGGTAAAATAAATAGCTAAATTATATAGTTTAGCTCTTTTGTAAATTATAGAAGTCCTTAGAAAAGAAAAGTTTTCCAATAGACTTGCTATTTCTCATCTTGTATATTAAAAAATTGTCACGTCACCAACTACTATGGACCTATTCCACCTGCGGATTGAAATTTTGTACGATCTATTCCTTTGGAGTCGTCGCTGGTCTCCTTGCGCCGTATTCTCCAACCACGGCAGCACCGGGGAGTCCTGCTGCAGTTGGGATCTCCCATTCGCCTGCTGCTCCCATCCGCCTGCTGCTGCTCCAATTCGCCTGGTACTCCCATCCGCCTGTTGTTGGAATAAAAGGGCAGCGTAGTTGGGATCTCCCATCTCAGACGGCGGAGCCTGTCCATGAGGACGTTGCGACATCACGGCGAATAAGGAAAGGGCGTTTCAGAGGGCCAACGAGTAGCAGCTTCCGTGGTGCGGCGGCGGCAGGGCCGGCGAAGGGGAGGAGGCGATGGACGAGCTTGGGAGTTGGGAATCGTTGAATGGAGCGGGTTGGGCTTGGATCCCCACGATGGGAGAGTCCAGTACGCGGGCGGGAAGCTAGTTTCTGGCGCGCGGGAAGGATTGCTATCTATGCCCAATGAGATTCCAGGGATAGCATACTTGCTATTATACAAAACCAAATAGAATATCTGTTGGAGTTTAATTTTTCTTATAAAAATCTAAATATACCGTAAAGAACCAGGATAGCGTATCTCTCGGAGATGCTCTTGTATCCAGTAGCTGACTCAACCACTGCGGTGCCCTAAGGCCGGACGCCCGTGTCGTCAGAGCATTTTTTAGCGAAAAAAAAGGACACGGTACGATCCTATCCCCCGGATTCTCCCACCCCCTCGAAATCTGCCACCTCAGCAGCTCACTCGTGGCCTCGCGCTCGTTTCCCGTGCTGCCGCGTCCGGCGTCGCGGCGTCGGCACCCACGAGGCACATCACCGAACCACCCGAGTCCCCACTCCATCCGGCACTATCCTCCACCGTACCCAACAAACTGACGCGGACCGCCGAACAACGGCCGTGTCAACGCGATAGCAATCGGCAACGGCAAGCAACCATCTGGGCACTGCCAGCAAACAGTCTCCCGTGCTGCTCCGCCCCGCAGCCAGCAAGCAGCGATCGGAAGTCGAGCGCCGTCACGAGTCACGAGAGGAGCACATGGCAGCGGCGGAGGGCGAGGTGAGGCGGGATATGTGGGGGCAGGAGTACCGGACGTCCTCCGCCGACTGCGCGGCGGCGCTCGACGCCTACTACGCCGCCTTCATGTCCTTCGGCCGCGGCCGCGTGGCCGCCGTCCTCCGCGCCTCTGCGGCCGACCCGACCTGCGCCCTCGCCGCCGCGCATGCCGCGCACGCCGTCGCCCCCAGGGACCCCGCGGGGGCCGCCGCCTTCCTCGCCGCCGCCAAGGACAACCTCGTGAGCTAGCGTCTTCCTCCCTCCCTTTCGACCACTCCCCCCGCCCCCGCCCCCCCTCGTTCGTTCCCTGAGCCGACCTGACCACCTTTACCTGTGGTGCGTTTGCGCGCCTGCTTCCAGGGGAAAGCGACGGAGTACGAGAGGGCCGTTTTCGGACGCTCTCCGCGCTGATGGGCGAGGGTGGGACGTGGAGGTGGCGATCGAGCGGCACTTCGAGGTTTGACATGCCTAAGTTTGTTGATTTGGAGGACTGGCTATACTAATGCTGCTACTTGCGGAGTCAGTAAACAGATACCAATTGCTAATTTGTAATATGGTCGTCTATGACAGCTTCTCAAGCAATTCCCCAGGGATATCCTATCTCTCAAGAGAGCGCAGCTCATCTGCTTCTATTTGGGAAAGCCAGATTTATCCCTGAAATTCGTCCAACAAGTAAGCCAAACGGGGTTCCTGTGTATTTATGGGCTTAAAATTTTGTGCTTCACTGAATGAAGTTGAAGTTGATGCGGCATTTCTTTTCACTAGATGTCCTTGTGTTGATTCATCTCAAGTAATATCAACAATGGTATCTTTGTATCAAAATAAGATCAAATAATTGCTGAGAGCATTATATGCCCACTGTTCCCTTACTGCATGGTAGTCAGTAGTTAAAGTAGTGTTGCATATTTGTGTTCCTTTTCATCGTTTCCTGTAAACATTTTTACTGTGCCAAATTGGTGCATTGCAAGAACTTGTGAATGTAGCAATAATCAAATATTTATGAACCCAGCACCCTGCCACCCTTTAAAAAATACTGTTGTAACAGGCTCTTTTGTTCACTAGATTTGTGGTACTCCATGCTTATCAGGTTTTGCCAAAGAATCAAGATCAAAATTTCATATATGGCATGCTTGCCTTCCCTTTGCTAGAGCTTGGACGGATGGATGAAGCTGAGAGAGCTGCTCGAAAAGGCTTGGCTATAAACAAGAATGACTTCTGGTCACAGCATAATGTATGTTCATGATGTGGTTATAGTTAGTTTCAGTAGTTAAAAGCATCCCATACAGGATCTGTTCAATAGAAATAGAAATAAAGGAATAGCTATCAAAGGGATCCTATCCAGGATCTAACTATTACAATTTGTGATTTCAGATTAGCTGGATCTATTGAAGATATATCAGAAACTTTTAAAACTTTTGATGATTGTTGTGTAAAGCTAACTTGATCATACTTCTTTTTGAAAAATAAAATTCAACCTACATACTGAAGGGCGGGCCTGGTGCAAGCGGTAGAGTCTTACCGTCTGTGACTGGAAGGTCCCGGGTTCGAGTCGCGGTCTCCTCGCATTACACAGGCGAGGGTAAGGCTTGCCACTGACACCCTTCCCCAGACCCCGCACAGAGCGGGAGCTCTCTGCACTGGGTACGCCCTTTTTTTAAAATTCAGCCTACATACTACATAGCATCTATAACCATGATCATACTGACATGACCCAGCAAAGCAAGGAATTTCAGATCTTTAGTTAAATGTTCCGTTCTGTGTGTCCACATCTAACTGACTGTCAAGTGGCAACTAGCATGTAGTACCTAGTCATCTTTCTTTTCTTTTCTTTTTTTTTGCGAATGTAGTACCTAGTCATCATTAACCTGGCTCTAGGAAACTGAACTAGTCACTGTTGAATTGTGTACCTGTGTGGGGAATCCTTGGTTCACCGATTTTGGTCCAACATCTCCCCGCATCTTCATTTTGGTTTGTTCATTGCTTTAGAAGAAAACAGTGCTATTTCTGAGTACAAAGAAAGTCATAATTGTGTCGTCATTTGAGATAACTGTTACAATTCCTATATTGGGTGGGAGAGTTTAGATTACTGAATCTTCTCATGCTGGCACTCTGTAACTTCTTGTTAAGTTTGGAACAACTATATTAGCCGTAAGAGTTTTCACTTAGTTGATATAATAACAAAAAAAATCATTTTCTTCTTGTAGCTGTGTGCATAATCCAATAACAAAATGTTTGTTTTCTTGTAGCTGTGCCATGTTTTTCAGCAGGAATGTCGCTTCAGAGAAGCTACCGAGTTCATGGAATCATGTTCTCCATCATGGGAGGCATGCACATCATTTCTGTATGTGGTTCTCCATGCAGTGTGCATTCTACCGATGCAAGTCAACAGCTATGAGCTTAGTTTTTTAGATTTCTTTGTCTCCCACAGGTTAACCCACAACTGGTGGCATGTCGCTGTTTGTTACTTAGAAGCTGAATCCCCTTTGTGTAAAGTTCTGGAGATATATGATCACAACATCATGAAGGAACTTGAGAAAAGTGATTGTGAGGCAGCAGAGGTATTATTTATTGGTGGTTATTTTACTTTAGACATAGATTGCTTGGGATACTAAATAATTTCTCATCCATTCAGGTGTATTTGAATGCTCTAGGGTTGCTGCTCCGATTATACATACGCGGTCATATAGATTCAGCTAAAGAGAGGTTAACAACATTGCTAGATGAACTAAAGAATGAGGTACTGACTCCCAGGAACATCTTTGAGTATGTGTGATGCATATATAACTAAGCTTCCTATTGGGGATTTTACACATACAAATTAAAGCTAGATGAGACATTCTTTTGACTGTCAGTTTGAACTTTTTTCAGTCTATATGGCATGCGGAATGGCTCCTTGACTTGCTTATATTGTGGGCACTAGCAAGTATGAGTGAACTAAAAAGTGCACATAATATGTTGGAATCATTGAAGTCAAGGTCAGATATGTTAAGTCTTGTGTTTTGTAGGAACACAAGAAGGTTTATTAATAGTTACTAAATCAGAAAAGCAACCTGATTGCAGGGTCCGTTCAATGGACAGGAATCAGCAGCAAGTGATGCAGAAGGCAATCAAGGTATGCAACTTTTTTTGAAGCTCTCGTCACTTGCAATATGTGTTACTCTTGTAAGAATAAGCATTGACAGTACAAAGCAATCTCTACGACAATGAAGCTTTTAAGTCCCAAGCAAGTTGGGGTAGGATCAAGATGAAACCCAACAAGAGCCACAAAAAAAAGAACAAAAAAAGAGCAAAAAGAAGAGCCATATAATGATCTAGTATTTCTGAAGAAATTTTTTGGAGGTCCAATTCGGGCAGCTAAACATCGCTGCACACAATGCATACTCTTTGTGGCAATATATAAGTAGCCTGTTATTATTGTAGTTTTCTTTACTAATTTTATTTACTTGTTTGTCTGTTGTAACATTACTACATCACAAATCTTCTCTTGGAAGATTGATAATGCTGCTTTTAATTGTTCTTTCTTTCATGTAGCTGGCGGAGGCTGCTTATGAATATGGGAAAGGAGATCACATGAAAGTCTTTTGACACTCTGGGTCCAGACTTTGATGCGCTAGATTATAAAGTAGGAACTGGAAGCTTTTTATTACTTTAAGATGAGTAATTATAAAATTTGTTTGTGTTTGCTAAAGATAAACAAATGGTACAATTAGATGATTGGTGCATCAGATGAACAAGTGGATGTCTTCAATGAGGTTTGGTACACTGTTCTAATAAATGCTGGAGGGACTTCCAAAGGTTTGAAGTCTTCGCTACTTGCAAAATTGAATTATTTTTGTTCTATGTCTACCTATGTTAGTAGCTAATGCAGTTTCAACGGTTTACAGCAATTGAGATTCTTGGCAAACAAATTAGGAAACGAGAGGGTGCACCTTTCTTGTGGCGCTTGCTGGTAAGTGTGCTCACACAATCGCATTGCTTTATTTCTATTTTAGTTTTTCCTCTGGAGTTTGTTAGGCAGGATTGTTAAGGATACACGTTGTGATCCTGACAATCAAAGGTGGTCATGGTGTTAAGCAAGAATTAGACCAAGTTCAGACTTTCACATACACATGAACAATACCCTATCCATGCCTTTATTCTGGTTCTCAGCTCTTTCCCATTCCATATCAGTATATCACTACCATTCTGACTAATGTACTGATCCTTTGACTATCTATAGCCTTGTTTCTCCTTACAGTTTGTGTTGCCAGACAACTTAATAACATTATGATATTATTCAGCCATAAATGGGTATTGTGGGTTCATTTTTGTGTTTGGATGTTCAGTATCAGATGGTCATATAGTAGTCTCATTATCATACTGCTATGAATTTACACTAAGATCAGAATTGCCCAAAAGTGTGATTACACATTGTGATCCTGACAAACCAAAGCTGCCTTGACATTTTATTCAGCTAAACCAACCAGTATATGTGTAATTTTCACATCGTTAGATACAAGAAACTCGTGAGATCCACATACTTTCAACTCTATAAAGCTATTAACTTTTTATTTTTGTCTCATTTTTACCAGGAGAAAGCATACTCATTGGATGGCAGAAGCGCAGATGCTTCAGTAGCATCTAAAAAGGCAAATGCTCTACAATCTGCTTATTTCCATTAGCTGATATCATGTTGAATAATGAATAGCCTTCCTTTTTGGAAGGTCCTGTAACCTTTTTTTTTACCGGTGGAAGTTGCCAGTATGCATCATAGGAAGTCTACAGTCAGTGTATATACCGCACAAAAATCAACAGTTTCAAAATACTGGAGCGTGTGCATTGTATCAATATGTGCATACATGATACATGGAAGTTTTATGTTCAGTAAAGTTATGGGTATAGATATGCATCATAGGAAGTTGCCAGTATGCATCATAGGAAGTCTACAGTCAGTATATATACCGCACAAAAATCAACAGTTTCGCAGGACCATGCACGCCACACGCTGCATGAAGTGGTTCGCTCTGGGAAAAGTCGCAGACACTACCGATTACTGAATGGTCCGTCGGAAGTAACGAACTCTCCATGGATCATATGGTGCACACCCGTACCTTGGGCAGCTTGTCATGAAGTCAAGTTGAGCCGCACCGACGATCCGCCGAGGCACCACGAGGTCTCCATTGGTTCGTACGGTGGTACAAAGTGGAATGGCCACTTTGCAGAAGTAAAGGCTAGACCTCACTGAATGATCCACCAATGTGCATAATGCCACTGGATGACCCGTCGGGCTGGTACCAATCATCTGGTGCACACTCTTGTGGATGGATGAAAACGGTACGGATATTTATTCGACCGTCCGTTCGACCGAACAAATATGAACACTTATCTGGATAGTTACTCGGATATCCGGGTTTTTTTTCGGATACGGATACTAAAACGGATATCTTAGGCGGATATCAAATACGGATGTAATATCATCGATATCCGGCGGATATCGGATAATCCGGATAAGTATCGGATATATCCGGATATTTAAAAACGGATATTATCCGGATATTTATTCAAAATTTAAAAATCACAAATTTGAACCATCCAAACTATCTCAAATGGAAAGTTGACCAAAACAACAATTGTAGATCTTGATGAGTTGAACAAACTTGGTATTCAAAACTTTTCAATTTGAAGTCATTTAGAGTTCATAATACTAGAGTCAAAGTGTTGTTTTTTCATTTGACCAAATTTGACTTGGTCAAACTTGCTCAAATGAGACACTAAATGACCTCAGATGAAAAAACTCTGAATACCAAGTTTGATCATCTCAGCAAGATCTACAATTGTTACATAGCTCATTTTCTCATTTGAGAAAGTTTTATCAAACACTATTCATAAATTCTTGAATCTCATATAGACTTTCTGAAACTATGTCACACACTTGTGAAATTTGAACTATATTTTGTTCAAACTTTCTCAAATGAAAAAATGGCCTATATAAGGATTGTATATCTTGATGAGATGAACAAATTTGGTATTCAAAACTTTTCAATTTGAGACAATCTAGGGTTCCGAAAACTAGTTTGTAAACGTCGAAATTTAAAAATCACAAATTTGAACCGTCCAAACTATCTCAAATGGAAAGTTGACCAAAACAACAATTGTAGATCTTGATGAGTTGAACAAACTTGGTATTCAAAACTTTTCAATTTGAAGTCATTTAGAGTTCATAGTACTAGAGTCAAAGTGTTGTTTTTTCATTTGACCAAATTTGACTTGGTCAAACTTGCTCAAATGAGACACTAAATGACCTCAGATGAAAAAACTCTGAATACCAAGTTTGATCATCTCAGCAAGATATACAATTGTTACATAGCTCATTTTTCCATTTGAGAAAGTTTTATCAAACACTAGTCACAAATTCTTGAATCTCATATAGACTTTCTGAAACTATGTCACACACTTGTGAAATTTGAACTACATTTTGTTAAAACTTTCTCAAATGAAAAAATAGCCTATATAAGGATTGTAGATCTTGATGAGCTGAACAAACTTGGTATTCAAAACGTTTCAATTTGAGACAATCTAGGGTTCCGAAACTAGTTTGTAAGCATCGAAATTTAAAAATCACAAATTTGAACCATCCAAACTATCTCAAATGGAAAGTTGACCAAAACAAGAATTGTAGATCTTGATGAGTTGAACAAACTTGGTATTTAAAACTTTTCAATTTGAAGTCATTTAGAGTTCATAATACTAGAGTCAAAGTGTTGTTTTTCATTTGACCAAATTTGACTTGGTCAAACTTGCTCAAATGAGACACTAAATGACCTCAGATGAAAAAAAACTCTGAATACCAAGTTTGATCATCTCAGCAAGATATACAATTGTTACATAGCTCATTTTCCCATTTGAGAAAGTTTTATCAAACACTAGTCACAAATTCTTAAATCTCATACAGACTTTCTAAAACTATGTCACACACTTGTGAAATTTGAACTACATTTTGTTCAAACTTTCTCAAAATGAAAAAATGGCCTATATAAGGATTGTAGATCTTGAATCCATGACCATGACTCCATGAGACCCATGAAGCAATGTGCTTGGCTATTTCTACTCATGCCGCGAAGATTGGTGCTTATATGATGTTTGATGTATGATGTATCTGTATCTTTATCTTATTTGTTGCTTTACTCTTTAGTCTTTCGGCTTAATCTAGATGGATTATGGACTCATAGAGTGGTGTAATGGTTTCATGCACGTATGATATATATATATCTTTGCTTTTACTCAATATCCGAATAGATATTTGTATCCGACCTTCTCCGAATCCGATTTATACCGTATTCGATACTCATTATTCGTATCCGTAACCGAGTCAATCCGTATTCGTATATGTATCCGAACGCTATCCGTGTCCGAATCCGAATCCGAACAGAAATATAAAAACAAATATAATATGAGTGATATCCGTTCGTATCCAATCCGTTTTCATCCCTACTCTTGTGCATATTTGAGCTCATTTCAAGTCAATATCGTCCAATTCAATGTCTCTGAGATTTGTGCCTTAAAACCTATCCGATTGGGCCACTTTGGCTCTGACTTGGTGAGTGTAGCACTTGTGCACACCAAATGCTCTCAACTTGGACTTCCATCAAGCTCCTTTGCCATCTAGCCTGGAACATCCCAAAGCATCTTCGAATCAGTCATCTTTGGCTTTGTTTCTTCCTCTTTGCTCCTTCCACGGCGGTCTTTTGGGCCCTCTTCGTCACGGTGTCCATGAAAATGAAACAATCTTAGAAAAAGGTTTGTCACTAAGAGGGGGTAGCGCGCCACTAGGCAAACCCCCTAACATTTCACTGTGTTGCTTACATAGCCAATATCCAAACTTGTGCATATTTGGTTGATGCAGAGAATTTATGGAAGCATACATAATTGTCAAAACAAGCACAATGCAGCATTAGCTAGTACGCTAGATCAGACAACACATATTTGCACAAGCTAACACAACATACAAAAATAAAATATTCTCAGCTCTCCTACTGTTAGAAACACGATACCTATTCTAGAAGATGTAAGGAACCAAGCACAATTTTAGCAAAACATTTTGCCTGTGTAGAACAACCAAAAATAAATATACTATATATGTTATGCTAGCTTAGGTTGTGCTGCATAAAGTCTAATGCAAGATAAAACTATTGTAAGTAACCAAACATATACACTAAATAACAGCTTAAAACTAAAAAAAAAATAACTTAGGACAAGGCTAAATTGATTTATATTTGGGATAAGATGGAGGACCTAGAAAACAGATTCAATGTGCACTTGCGTATAACTTCAGGCGGAGCAAATCCAAATGATTCAATTGTAAAACCGCTCTTGATATATTATGGGCTTGGCCCATATAATATTTAATAAATCAAATAAAACTCTATGGTCTGTAACAATAAGCGTTGTATGGTTTAATACCATACGGGTTTTGACTGAACGTTGACTCAGCTTATATGATTGGAAATTATTCATCTTAATTAACAAGCTGAGAAAAGGACAAATACGTGCCACACGCGCGCCGCCGGTCGGGCCGGGCCGTGGCAGGCAGCGGGCGGGCGTGGCCA